GATCTCACAGGGCTGATCACAATTCAAATCTTGCTCAGTGGCTTGAAAACCATGTTGGCCACAGGTGTACAGGTACTCATATCCTGACAGGATGGGGAAATAGAGAAGGGAAGCCGGCATGACCAAATGTCACTGAGGGGTGCGTCTGTCTAGCTGGCTAATTATCTTTACACGCGCAGATGTGCAGACACACAAACGCATGTCGGTATGAGAGCAGGCTACACTGACATAATCCCCACCCTCCCACTACAGAACTGAAAAAAATAGAACTGTATTTTTATTTTAATATAACCACAAAGAACAAGAAACTCAAAAGGTGATATAGAAGCTCTGGAGCTGGGAGCTGGGACAGGAAACGTGGCTCTGAATCCGCACAAGGAGAGGACCTGGAACAGAGGCTGCTGCAGAAAAGTACTGCGCCTTGAAGAGTCCCCTGCACTCTCCTACCGAATGCTGCTGCCAGCCCAGAGCGGAGGCAAACTGCTGCTGGGGCCTTGGGGCAGCTGCAGACAGACACTGCCTGCAAAAACAGTGCCCTCTGCAGGTGTCACAGTGTATGCATCCTATCCCGAGGTGAGAAAATGACCCAAACGGATCCAGATCACTAAAATCTGACTCTGGTACAGAAAACACCTATACTCCTCCGGAACAATACCACCAACACCCCAGGACACAGACTGCTCACATAACAACCCACCCCGGCTGAAGGTAAGTTCACAATCCTAAAAACCTCATGAGGAAGCAAACCACCATGAGGGAGTCAACAGATGCAGCTGACAAAATCAGCATCCCCAAGAACTCAAGTAAATAAAATGATTGAGACAATATAACAAACAATTAAAATTGTTTCTCTTTTAAAATTTGCTATAGAGGGACCAGCAAATGGCATGGTGGTTAAGGCACTGGACTCCCAACATGGCCAGCCACGGTTCGTGTCCCAGACCTGGCAGTTGCTTTCGAGCTTTTTAATTTTTAAAAATTAAAAAGCTCGAAAGCAACTGCCAGGTCTGGGACACGAACCGTGGCTGGCCATGTTGGGAGTCCAGTGCCTTAACCACCATGCCACCTGCAGGCCCCTTTCAAGCTTTTTCATACTTTCTCTCTCTCATGAGTGCACATGACCTATAGCAAATGAAATAATTATTAAATAAAAAAAGAAAAACTTCCAGATGGCATAATGAGTATGTTGCTAGACTCACACGCAGTCCACTGTGGTTTGAATCTTAAAGCTCACACCGGGTGTATGTGTATGCGTGCATAAACTCCTAAGGGGAGAAGAGAGAAGAAAGTGTGGCATGGCCATGCCCCTGGGGGGTGACTTCTTGCTGTCTCTCTGGTGAGTACATGTAACCTCTTAGCAAAAAGTCTCTCAAACAACAATAAAAACTTGCTACGGAGCTCATGTACTTGCTAAAGGGGGGAGGGGGGAGAAATCACCCCCCAGGAGGGATGGCCAGGTCACAATCCCTTCTTTCTCATTCCCTTGGGATTTTGGGTACTTGCACACACATGCCCAACGGGTTTTCCAAGCCACCAGGCTTGGGAATCAAACTGTGCAGTCAGCCATATGGACAGAATCCAGCTGCCTTAACCACCAAGCCACTGACTGGCCCAAAATTATGTTTTAAAAGAACGGAAACTATAATGAAGTAAATAAAAACCAGGCAAATTTGAAAAGGAATCAATGTTAACTTCAGAAATAAAAAGTCAATGAAATCTGAAAGTCAATGGTCAGGAAAAACAGATTAGACAGGCCTGAGAACAGAATAGTAAGATAAATACAAAGAGATGACTGAGACTATAACACAGAAAAAATCTAACCTTACAAAACAGGATAGGTATGATCTAATTCCGAAGAGGCCCAACCACGATGGTGCAAATGTGAAGATACAGTGCAGAGTCTGAGGCCACAGGGGAGGCCCGAGTCCAGTTCCCGCTCGCCCTTAACAGGCCTCGTGTAATGGCACCTGCCTGTGGTCATAGCTACCTGAAAGCCGGGGAAGGAAAATTTCAACATGGCAAAACCCTGTCAAAAATACCTACCCAGGGATCAGCAGATAGCCTAATGGCTATGTTGCTAGACTCCCACATTGTAAACCATGGTTTGAGTCCCAGATCTCGAGGTTTAAAAACTCACGCCAGGCACGTGTGCGTGCATGCCCAAAATCCTGAGAGGAGAATGGAGAAGAGATTGCGGTATGGCTATCCCCCCTGGGGGGTGACTTCTCTCTCTCTGCCTCTCTGGCGAGAGGCACGTGCCCTATAGCAAAAACCTCTCTTAAAAACAAAAAACCTACCAATCCTTTTCTCATTTGAACATAGACACACGCACCCCCACATACATACACATCAAAAATGACTTCGAAAAAGGTTTGTGGAACAACAGAATTAAACTGTGAGTTTATTTTGATGCAAAAATGTTTAAATTGATGTGCGGAATTTTCTTTTTTAAAGAATTATTTTAATTAACTTAATCTTCTTGTTTATTTATTTGTTTGTTTTAATTTGATCAGAGGGGTACAGAAAGAGAGTGAGTGAGAAAGTGCGAGGCGCCAAGTCCAGACCTTGAACTACCGTCAGCCATGTGGGAGTCCAGCGCCCTCAATCTCCACACCACTTGCCGGCCCCACTTCTCTTCTTTTTGTTAAGAATTATTTTATTTAACTTTTTAAATTAACTAATTAATTTGACGAGAGAGAGAGAGAGAGAGAGCGCACCACCAGGTCTAGGACTCTAACCACAATTGGCCATGTGGGAGTCCAGCACCTTAACCACCATGCCACCCGCTGGCCCCACATAGAATTTTCGTAACACACACTATTCAAGTAAATAAAGAACATCCAGAATCTTCTTAGTGAAGAAAACAGAGATGAAACCAAAAATGAAATAAAATCACATCTGTATCTAAACATACTGGTGAAACCAGAACATAAAAACAGGAAAAACGAACTCATGCTTGATATAGAACAACGAAGTCCAAAACAGACTTCCACGGCCCTGTCTGCTCCCCTGCACTGACGCAGACAGCAAACACAGCCTGCCTGTCCCAACTGCGCTTCCTGGGGGAATGGGTTTAGGTGCAAGTTCATTTCCAAAACCCTCAAAGCTGTCGGCCTAATAGACTCAACAACCCACTGCCATGATCCGGGCACACCAAACTGTATTAATAGAGCGCTGGATTTTTACTCTAAATTTCACCAGCATATATACTGCTCTACGTACTAAAGCTGCCATTTTTCTTAATGCTTAACTAATTAAAGTGTTGATTTTTATAGCCTAGTTTTTCCAGCAGTAAAGCACCTTGAGTATCGTCTGATGACAAGAACCCCATCTTGTGGTAAAATGTCTCTCAATGCAGTTTTGCAGTTTGGCTCTATGACGCTGTACTGCCGTTCTCATTCTGGAGATAAATCTGTGTTGAGAAGTTATCATTTCATCTGCTTTACCAGACAGCGTCTCTAACCCAGCATTTATCTTGTGTCTGCGACGGCACCGCAGTGTGCAGTGAATCTGTGGAGCACAGTAATTCTGGAGCTTTGTGAGTTATTTTCAAATGAAAGCCAGTAGTCTTGGCGCAGCTTACCGCAGGAATATTTTAAGAGAAAAGCAAACACTGACTCTGGGTTAGCTTCTGAGATATTATCATCTGCTCATTCTGTTTCCCACAAGATGAACTCACTCAGCAAAAGCAATCACGACACAAAACTCCCCTAACTCTACAGCAAACGACCCTGTAGTCGCCACCCTACACAACAGAACCGCCCCCAGCGCACCTACACGTTCTACCAGTCATTCATTCGTCGCTCCCGAGAGGGGATTTTAAACATCCACGTCTTTTCCTTTTCTTTTCTAAAGACAGTAAAACTAGAGTCTAAAATAGTCTCTCCATTTGTTCCTGTAATAGAAATGTCTTCCTCTGTGGCTTCTCCCACTGTCCCTATTGGGTTTTCCTTAAGAGATTTCGAAAGGCCTTACCATTAATAACGGTAAAACGTAATGGACACCAAGCTTGTCTGGCTCAAATATTTGCTATTATCTTTTTTTTTTTTGGAGAGGTTTTCGCTATAGGGCATGTGCGCTCGCCAGACAGACAGAGAGAGACAGAGAGACAGAAAGCGAGAAATCACCCCCCAGGGAGGATGGTCACACTGCAATCCCTTCTCCTCCATTCTCCTCTCGGGATCTTGGGCACACACGCACACGTGCCCGGCGTGAGTTCTAAGCCACCGGGTCCGGGATGCGAACCGTGGTCGACTACGTGGGAGTCCAGCGACATAGTCATTACGCTAACTGCTGGTTCCCACTATTATCATTTTTATTACTGTCATGACTATTATGAATGACAGTAGAATACTGAAAAAGGACCCCAAAATAGCTTGTTCATGTGTTTTTACCTTTGTCAGCTGTCAGTATCTTTTAAAAATTTCAGTTCAAACAGGCCAAATATTTATCAAAAGCAAAACTGAAACAATACTTTACTCCTTACTTTACACCTTTCAAAATCTGTTTTAAAGGGTTAAAAAGGACAGAAGATAATATTAAAAGAGCTTTTTTATTTGTTAATGTTACATAAGAAATTTAAGCAAGTTACACTATCTTAAAAAACACAACTAAAGCATTTTAATAGAGAAACCAAACCCTTCCCTCTGCCTCCCTCCCCTCCCCCAACCCCCTCATGAATTAAGAATCAGAGAGAAGCGACCAGAAAACAAAGTTTTGTGGAATCCTTCATCCAGAGTGCGTACATGATTAGGTTAATATTGCCCTCTTACAAAATTTCTCTTTTCTATTAAAAAAAAATTGTAGCCTTGATTGCTTATTACAAAAAACTTCAGTACAAAAGTCCAATATATTGAAAAATGCTTTCCCCTCCCTCACAGCACCGTTATATATAGCAGAGAATAATCCAGAGCAGATTGCTAATCTAGATGGAGCAATCCTCAAATTACAACGACACACAGTGGTTTATTTACCCTCCCCTCCCTTCTCAAAGGACTTAAAAAAAATACACACGCTCGCACACGCACGCACACACACGCACACGCACGCACACATACAAAAAAAATGTCAAAAATTTGAGAGACCCTTTCCGAACAGTACACAGTTAATTCAGTGTCAATGATTCACATCTTGCAACAAAGTGTATGGATATGGTTTCTTTTACAAAACTTTCAGTGTCAAAAAAGAAATTAAGGCCATCAGATTCGCAGCTTAAAAATTCACATAAAGGAAATATAAAAATATTCTGTGCTTCTGAGAAGGCTCTGCACTGTATACAGGTAAGGGCTACCGACTCCTGCACTCTGAGGAGGACGGCTGGCTGCGACTTCACATGATTGCACAGCTCCTATTGGATGTTCTCGGAGCTCCCTGAAGAGAAAAGCAGAGGGAAAAATTAAGGCTAAGAACAGATCTCAGTATTCTGAAATAAGACGGAAAGTTATTAACTGTAGGGATCCTATCAATCCATGCTGCCTAACTCTGAATGGACCTTTACGTTTCTTACCTACCCATCTCTAACCGCTCATAGACTTCTTCCCTAAAGTACTCCAATAGTGAGTCTCAATTCTGACTCTGTATTCAGATCCTGAGAAGTTTTTGATTGATTAATTGATGGATTGATTTTTAATTCTGACCTCAGTCTCTAGATTAAACAACAGTTTCTCATTTAACCATGGAACAGAACTCTATGTAGTTTAAAGGAATTCGAATCTGCAGCCAAAGGTGAAATAACCTCCTTTGATACTTCAGGAAAGGCAATCAGGAGACCCTACTTCGAACAGTACGGTCTGCTGGGCCTTGAACTTCCACATCCCGAGGCGTGTGCGCTGGGTCTGTCCTCAGATGTGAAGTCCAGAATGGTTCTTCTAGCCATTTCTTCATCATCCATCAGTTTCTTAAACCTCACAGTGTGATCTGGGACTCACGGCTGATTGGACTAAAACATGTCTCTTGAAGGTCACCAAACAACTAATCAATCCAAAAGGATTCACTCTCTAATGTGAAGTAAAAATAGCACTTTTGTCCCTCCATCTTCCCTCTTTTAAACCTTTGTATCATTCTTTTTTTCTTTGATGATCCAAGCTCAAAAAAACCTCACATATTTTTAACTTTTTCCTTCTCTCTCGAGTTGTTACTTAGCCACTGAGGGATCTCTGTTTCTATGGCCCTCAGTGGGATTTTCCTCTAGAAGTAAATGCCTGGTTCAGCCTGCTCAGTGATATTCTGAAAGGTCCGAATTTCTTCTTTGCCTCAAATCACACAGTCGCTACTCATGCCTAGGCATTCCAGACTACGTCAATCTATCAATTTTGCTTCTCATATAATCCATTCAATACAACTGAGAAACAAACGTACCTGGTCTTAACAGATCCCTTGCAGTAAATTATAGATCACCATATATTCTTTGCCACTCCTCCCACCAAGAAGTGGAGACCATTCATCCTGCCCACTCAGACTATGAGAATGTGGAGAAAGGCCATTGTGCCAGTGCTAGGCCCAGCCTTTCAGATCTGGTGTTCACGGCATATCCTCTGGGCCAGCAGTTGGCATAATGGCTATGTCACTGGACTCCCACAGAGTCGACAGCGGTTCGAGTCCTGGACCTGGTGGCTTAAACTCACACCAGGCGCATATGTGTGCATGTCCAAGATCCCGAGATGAGAATAGAGGAGAAGGGATTGCAGCGTGGCCATTCCCCGGGAGGATGATTTCACGCTTTCTGTCTGTCTCTGTCTTTCTGTCCAGCGCACGTGCCCTATAGCAAAAACCTCTCCAAAAGCAGAAGGTTGGAGTGAACTACTGAATCATGAGAAGTCCCATGGAAAGCGACCTGAGGGGTATTCCAGACCAAGACACGGTTCTAGCTGAAGGCAAATTCACGACCGACTTCGGTCTCCACCAAGGGGAGCAAGCAGAATCATCCAGCTGAGCCCAGTGAAACCTCCAGAGCATGGGAAGTAAGAAATCATGTTTTAAATCGCTAGGTTTTGGGGGGTGATCTCTTAACGTAGCATCAGATCAGAACACCATGATCTGCTCTCTAACGCCCAAATAATTTCCCAGCCTTCCAAATTCTGGACGAACATCGTTTCCCAGAAATCTTCTCAATTACTCTGGAAGCCTGCAGAGCCTTTTCCAGCATCTGACCTGCTACAACTCATGCCCTGAGCGGCTTCCTGGCACCAAGAGACAGCGCTCACATTATTATTTTATTTCTACTCATTCTAACGCTTCCCATTCGGGACAGAGATGAAGCTTATGCGTGTTCCTTGTCAAAGCCAAGTTTAACATCTCTTCTTAAATATTCCCCGCAAATATATGAGAAGACATCCAGATTAAAAAAAAAAAAAAATCATTCTACTTTCCACGACCCACCTGAATGGTTCTCAACCCTGGGGCCCAAACACTAAGAGAACGCTCATCTGAAGCAGACTGCGGAGAACAGCACAAAGCGAACTTCGATGGTAAATCCAGAGACGGGGAGACGAACCCTCATCAGGATAAGGGTGAGGACTGACTGATGAGCAGACTCAACAGCTTGAGAATATAAGCTGAAGCTCATTAGTCATTAATAATTCCAATTTAATTAGTTAAAACCAAATTTGGAATTTATTTCAAGGACTCTCAAAAGCCCAAGAATCAGCTACTATCTACCTTATAATTAGATCCTGATTAGGGGTTTAATATAGCAAGGCTTTTGTTTCTAAATGAGATTGAACATTCCTTTTTTGTTTTGCGTATATGCAGATGCTTGCTCTACTTTGGTGACCCATACTTTCTGCAGAGCCACACAACTCAATCTATATAGGAATGGTATTCAAAAAGTTCGTGAAAAATGTATATGATGAAAAAAATACATATATAGGGGATTTCAAAATTGTTTGAGCCAAAATAAACTAATATTTTACTTCCATTTCTCCATAAACTTTTTAGAGTCCCTTCAGATACTTATTTATAAGTGATATTCATGTTCTATAATATACTATTGGATTGTTGGAAAAGTCATGACTCATTTTTGCATAGAAAAAGGAGCAAGAAATGTTAGTATTTTCTTCCAGCACCCTTAATCTTGGCTTTTGGAAGTACAAACCCAATTTGGAAATCACTGCTCTGGTTCATGTAGTAGTTAAAAAAACAAAAACACATACTGAGTCTTATGTAATTATGCTTACTACATTTAATACAAATATACTAAAGTAAAGTAATACCTGCTGGTGAAAAAGTTCTTCCTCAACCACCACTCCAGCTGCTTCTTCCTCCTCCTCTTCCTCTTCAGGTATGGTTGTTTTAAAGACTGTACTTCTCTGAGCAACCTCCTAAAAACAAGAGCAGCTTAATTATATGTTAAAAAAACATGCTTAAAATCAAAAAAGCTACAGGGGAAACAACCTTTTCTTTGCTTAAGAAACAGTATTCTTTTACACCAAGGATTTTTTTTAAAGTCATTCTGTTAGTAGCTTTAGCTACAGAACTGGAATTTTTCAATAATTACTAGTAGCTCTTAGACCTTCGAATGTCCTGTAGGGGAGCCACTGGTATCCAATTTGAAAGACCTGCTGAGGAAGTTACACTGCTTTTTATTCCATTCTGTCACTACAAATTCTGCAAATGATTTGACATGTTAAATTCTTTATAAAACTCAACATGAATTCAGTTTAAAGATCTTAGCTCTTAGCGAGAGAAGACACTAAATATACCCTGAATAAAGCGAAGCTGGAGCCGACTGGCGTGCTCTCAGGGACCTCGGTGGCAATGGGACACCTGATGAGCGAGATGAAAAGAACACGCTCCTGACACTTCTTCAGCAACCGGTTCCTTTTCAGTGAAATGCCATCAAGAGAGACGAGCACTATTTACTAACAACACGCAAGTGAGGGTCTAATGTGCTCTATACAGAAAGAGATGTCCTTGCATTCACTTGAGGTATGACAGAAAGCGACCATTTCTGTTTCCTACTGAAAGGTTCAGTACAGACTACTGCAGAGAACGCTGACTCAGCACAAATGCAGCAGCGTTTCTGTGTGAGCACCAGGCTAACCCGATGGCCTGGTGGCAAGTAAATGAGTGTGTCCCGCAGAGAGCTACGAGCGTCTCGTTTTATTCTGTGCCATGTCCTAAGGTCACTCAAGAAGGAGAACTCCACAGAGGAAGACACTAAAATTACTTTAGTAAAAGCCTACCTGAAATTTAACACAGAGCAGCTGGTTTAAAATGTCAGCAGAAGAAAACCAGAAACCAGAGCATAGAAATGAGACTTGAATATGAGGAAAGGGATCAGTAGGTGGCATGGTGGGTAAGAACTGGACTCCCACTGAGTCCCAGACCCAGTGGTTTAAAAATCATGCAAAATCCCAGAAGGTAATGTGGCGTGGCCACCCCCCGGTCGGCGATTTCTCCCTTTTCCTCTCTCTGTCTCTCTCCACGAAGCACACATGCCCCATTGGGGAGGGGGGGAGGGCGGAGAGGGACCCTTTAAAAAAAAAAAAAAAAAGGGAAAGAAAAGAAAAAAGAGAAAAGAGGAGTCAAAATCTTCCCTTCGGAGTCCTGGCATTCCAGGTCTTAGCAGCTCCTGGCAGTGCGAACATCCCACATGCAAACACTGGCACCCCTAAGGCTCGTGCTGTAACTTCAGACGATCAACCTCGATGAGGAGCTTGGAAAACAGCAGCTTGCCCAACTTCATTAATTAGTAATTACTGTAACAAACTTTCCTTTTAATGTAAACCTGCTGTTAAGCACTTTGCATTTGAAGACATTTATAAACCAATTAATATAATGCAGAAAGCCTTTATGGAAAATGAGTGAACTAAATAATGTCTAAAATTCTAGATAAATTTAGAATGAAAAACAGTTGGGAGGTTTAGACCCAGGAAACTGTTAGCAGTCAAGAAGCCAACAGCTGTTTTAACCATTAACAGTCAGGTACCCTATCAAGTACCCCGAAAGTGCACACACAGGCCTTGCATGACAAAGGTTGTGTTCGGTACAAAACATCCCACTGGGTACCCGTTTCATGCCTGGCGCGTGCAGAGGTACACTAAGGTGGCTGGCAGTCACTGGCCCCAGCTGAGGGTGCTCTCCTTCACAGCTGTGTGGAGCGCTGTCATGGTAGCAGCCGGAACGTAGCCTTGGGAGTATTTACACCACAGAAATCGGCACGTGCCAACACACTGAGGCGATTTTCTGCTGACAGTCAAGTGTAGAAGTAGTTTATGCTACATCTGTATAAATTATCATCTGCATTTACCAAAACTTCAGTTATATCTATATTCTGGAAGTTTGAAAAGGCTGTCTTTTTTTTTTTTTTTTTTTTTTAAATTTCCCTCAGAGAAAAACATCTTTTCTTCCATGGTGACACTTGTGGTTTCTAAGCACTGAGCCCGCCTCCCTTGTGTCTAGGTAAGAGCTCCCCCGTGAGGCACACCACACCCGTGCCCCAAGGAGCTGAGCAGTCTCTGGCTGTGTAGGGGAAGAAAGCTCCAGCTCCTCTCCATCCCCGACGCTGAACTGGTTTCGAGACAGGCATGTGACCCACACTGGTGCTACAGGAGAAGCCCAGGCTGGGGCCTCACAGGGGAAGACGTCCTTCCCACAGAGAACGAATGGAACGCACGTGCCCCCAGTAGGGAGGCAGCTATCTGGTCTCCCAGAAGGCAGGCGCCCAGCAAAGGGACAGCAGACCCTGTGTGAGCCACTCCCTCGAGCCCAGAACATGTATGTTTTCAGTGACATGATCCCCCCAAACTCCCATTATTTTCAGGTAGTGTAAATGAGTTTTCTGATGTGTCTATTGCCGCAGAAGGAAAAATACACCAAGGAAAAATTGAACTGAGCCGGCCCTGCAGTGCTTAAGTGGTGAACACTAGAAGCTGGATCCCACGTGGCTGGCCGGGATTCAAATTCTGGTCCCTGCAGCTTAAAAAGCACCAGATGCGTGTGTACATACCCATCCCTGATGAGAAGGAGAAATGGGGGAAAGGGACTGCAGCATGATTCCGCCCACTAACGGGGTATTCTCCCTCTGCCTTTAGAGAGCACACGCACCCTCTGGCAACAGCAATAAAAAAGATGTGGGATTTGGGGCAGGCACGCACACGTGTCCAGCATGGGTTTTAAGCCACTGGGTCTCAGACTCATACCACAGTCAGCCATGTGGGAGTCCAGCACCATAACCACTGTGCCACCTGCTTGCCCCAGTGATGACTCTTTATAACACTGCAGCTGCTCGTTGCATTTATTAAAAATTACCTTGGGGTCAACAGGTAGCATGCTAATAAAGGCACTGGACTCCCACGCGGCTGACCGCAGCTCGAGTCCCAGACCTGCCTGCTCGCTTTGTCATTTTCCCTCTCTCTCTGGTGAGCGCAAGTGACCTATAGCAAATTAAATAACAGTAATAGTGATAAAATTAAACACACAATTCTTTAAAAGGTGCGTGTATTGATATTTATGCCCAACATCCTGACAGGACGAAGAAATGAAGGTAAAGGATTGTGGCGTGACGACACACCACTGAGGGCCAGGACTGGGGGAGAGGGGGTTTGCACACACATGCTTGCACGTCCTCTCTGGTGAGCACACACATCTTCCAGCAATTAAAAAAAGAAACAGCCTGGTCACTTTATCTGATTCCCCAGCTAACCCACACTGCAGAATGTAAGCACCGTAATGCCAGAAGCCACACCCGGCTTCTTTGCAGCCATCTTCCCAGCACAGAGCGGCTGGGGGACAAAAGAGCAAACCCGCCCGGGTGGGAGGGCGGCCGC